ATCAATTGAAAACATTAAATGACTTTTAAAAATTACTAGGGGACATTAATTGGATATGACCTGCTCTAGGCATTCCTACCTATGCCAGGAGTAATCTATTTTCTATCCTTAGAGGAGATCCTAGTCTCATTAGCCCTTGGCAATTAACAAAAGAAGCTGAGGCAGAGTTACAGCTGATTGAAAAGCAAGTCCATAAAGCTCAAATAAACAGAATAGATACAGAGAAGACTCTAGATTTGCTAATTTTTCCAACTCAGCATTCACCTACTTGTGTTATTGTTCAAGAGCAAGATCTTGTAGAGCAGCTTTTTCTTCTACATACTAATTCACAGACTCTAACTCCTTATTTGGATCAAATTGCTACTATGATAGGTAATGGGATAACTCGGATTGTTAAATTACATGGATATGATTCTGAAAAAATTATTGTCCCTCTCACAAAGGCACAAATACAGCACGCTTTTATAAATAGTCTTACTATTTATATAAATGTGTGCAAAGACAGAAGCAGAACAACTGGTTTGGTGGAGAGCTCTGATAACAAAAATCGGGAAATAGGTAAAAATATCTTTGGTTAGAGGTTATGCTTGTGTTTCTCCAGGACCAAAGCAGCAGCCTGTTTGGATACCATCAAGACACCTGAAACCTTATCATAAGCCAGATGCTGAGTAAGAGATTCCTGAAGGATACTGAAGACCCCCCGGTCGCAGCCATGTCGAGACTGACACTGAGGAGGACCCCAGCTGTCACGAGCGACACCTGTCAAACACAGACACCCACTTGGGGACAGATCAAGAAGCTGTCACAGATGGCAGAAGAAAGCCTGAGGAAAGTGGGACAACCAGGCACAATGAGTAATTTAATGGTAGCTATGATAGTGGTGATCACCATTGCCATGAGTATTCCTTCAACAAGGGCTGACACAGAGAACAATTATACTTATTGGGCATATTTATCAATTTTGGCTGGCAATAATGCCTGGATATAATCACTCTATGACACAGTTACATATGCTTTCTAGTCTCAGTATTTACCATAATAAATCTACTCCTGTAATTGAGGCATACCACCCTCGAAAACCTATTTGTAAACAAAATTGAACCTGGTCAGAAAAAATGAATGTCCTTGTTTAGGAAAATTGCATTGCAAAACAGACAGAGGTGCTGCACAGTGATTCCTATGGAATCATTATTAATTGGTCCCCTAAGGGGATGTTTAGCTTGAATTACACCTCTTGGTCTGCATGCCACGGCTACACTATGTTCAGCTGGTCTGAACAAAGTGGTCAGATAGTAGAAATGATAAGAAATATGGCAAGAGTTCCCATTATCTGGAACCATGGCAGTATAGTGGCACCTCAACCTCAAGTGATATGGCCTGCTGTAGGAGCTAAACATAAGGATTTGTGGAAATTATTAATAGGTCTTAATAAGATCAATATTTGGGAAAGAATGAAAAAGCCTCTAGAAGGACATTCTACAAACTTGTCTTTGGATAGTGCAAAATTAAAAGAACAAATATTTAAAGCATCCCAGGCACACCTGACCTTAATGCTAGGAACTGGAGTACTTGAAGGAGCTGCAGACAGATTAGCAGCTAGTAACCCATTAAAATGGATAAGAACACTTGGAAGCTCTGTGATTTCAATGATGATTGTGCTTTTAATCTGTGTTGTTTGTCTTTGTAAAGAGTGCAGATGCAGATCCCGACTCCTGGGAGAAGTAGCTCACCATGACAAAGCTGCCTTTGCTTTTATCACCTTGCAAAACAAAGAAGGGGTATATGTTGGAAACAGGCCCCCAAATCTGGACGTAAACAGGCCCCAAAACTGGCCATAAACAAAATCTCTGCAGCACTGTGACATGTTCATGATGGCCATGATGCCCACACTGAAGGTTGTGGTTTTACCGGAATGAGGGCAAGGAACACCTGGCCCACCCAGGGTGGAAAACCACTTAAAGGCATTCCTGAACCACAAACAATAGCATGAGTGATCTGTGCCTTAAGGACATGCTCCTGCTGCAGATAACTAGCCAGAGCCCATCCATTTGGGCCCATCCCTTTGTTTCCTGTAAGAGATACTTTTAGTTAATCTACAATCTATAGAAACAATGCTTATCACTGGCTTGCTGTCAAAAATATGTGAGTAAATCTCTGTTCGAGGCTCTCAGCTCTGAAGGCTTTGAGAACCCTGATTTCCCACTCCACATGCTATATTTCTGTGTGTGTGTCTTTAATTCCATAGCGCTGCTGGGTTAGAGTCTCCATGACTAAGCTGATCTCAGCACTATTACATAATAGTATTTATTATGCAGTAGTATTGAGTTTGCTACATTTTCTACTCATGACCCTACCTTGGCTTTCTGTCTCACATGTGGAAAAAATAGAGATTCTGTCAGTCATCCATAGGACATGATATGGTCTGGTCTCCTTACCTCTGACTTTGTTTCCTACTACACTCCCCCTTGGTCACCCTGTTTCAGACATACTGACTTCCTCAATGTTGTTCCAATGCATTTGGCATGCTCCTATCGCAGAGCCTTTCCACTCATTCCCTTTTCCTTGAACACTCTTTCCCTACTATCTATGTGGCATCTACCTTGTCTCTTTCAAGTCTGCTCAAATACTGCATTCTCATTGAAATCTATGGCTTATTTAAAATTGCAATGTCTCTGTTGCCTGCACTCCTAATCTCCTTTAACCTGCTCTAACTTTTTTCCATAGTACTATTCACCTTCTAAAATATTGTATAATTGACTTAACTGTTTACATTAATGTTGTCTGTCTACCATGCTAGAATGTAAATTCCATGAAGGCAGGAGCTTGTGTCTTTTCTTAATAGGCAGTCAGTGCTGGTTGTGCATCTCTAATCAGAAAAGCCAAAATCTTATGTGCTCCAAAAGTTTTGAGTGCCACCAACATGATGCTACAAGTGGAAAATTCCATGCCTGACCTCATGTGATTTGTCACAGTCAAAACTTTGTGTAATCACACAATTATTTTTTTAAATTGCATAAAATTACCTTCAAGCTATGTGTATAAGGTGTATATGAAACATAAATTAGTTTCATGTGTAGACTTGGATCCTATTCTCAAGATTTCTCATTATACATATGCATATATTCCAAAATCTGAAAAAATCTGAAGTTTAAAATACTTCTGGTCCCAAGTATTAATATTTTAGATAAGGGATACTCAACTGGTATTATTTGTTGAATGAATGAATAAATAAATAAAGTTGTGAAACGACTTGAGAAAGTTATTTCATTTATGTAGTATTGAGAATTTGTATTTATAGTACTCAGATTATTAAGACTACATGTGAATACTTGCTCATTTATAGATAAATAACATATACTTTAAAATGATAAAATATGTTTATGAAGTTTGGAATAACATTAAAGGTTACTAAAAATAAATAGGACTATTATTGTGACTTGATTATCACAGTTAGCTCTTACATTATAAGAAAGTCCTTACTGTCCATACATGATTATTAAAACCAAGTTTTTGAAATCTGTTTTTTTTTTTACAAGGACTCTCTAGTTTACCTCCTTATAGCGAGATAGAAGTGCTTGATGTTTTCAGGACTATTTTGCACACCATAAATTTCTCAAACTCTGTTTTGTTTGAGAACCTACATGGTTCTGTGAATTTCATTAAAGCTAAAGTGGTCATTACTTAGAAAAGGAAATTTTAAACTTATTTTGAACCTGTTCTTTGGTTATTGATCTAAGGTGTTATTTTAAAAACATTTCTAACATCAGTATGTAAACATATTGTATTTTACAGATTTAGACCCTAATAGAGACACAGATAAAAGCAGTTTTCTATTGGTATATGTTTATTTTATAGATTCAAATTAAAATAATTAATAATATGGTTAATCATGAAGACCAATAAAGTCATGTGATTGAAATTCATGAATGACAGTTGCAGTGCTTTTCTCAGCCTGCTTCTCAGTTTATGTCTGGAAGGGCTTTGGTTGAAAGACAACAAGAAAAATAGTTGTAATGGTTCTATTAAAAATGACAATAGTTCAAAACAAAACTAAAGCAACCTGAGAATAACATGATTAATAGGAATAGTAGGATAATTTTATTTCATAACTACCTCACCAACAACATCTAACAACCATTTATATTATTATTATTATTTTTGAGACAGGGTCTTGCTCTATCACCCAGGCTGGATGATAGATCATCCAGTGGCACGATCACTGCTTACTGCAGCCTCAGTCTCACGGGCTCAAGTCATCCTCCCACCTCAACCCCCCAACTAGCTGAGACTACAGATATGCACCATAATGCCCAGATAATTTCTAATTTTTTTGTAGAGATGGGGTCTCCCCATGTTGCCCAGGCTGTTCTCAAACTCCTGGGCTCAAAATCCTCCCACCTCCGCCTCCCAAAGTGCTGGGATTACAGGCATGAGCCACCACACCCAGCCCATTTATATCATTTATCATAAATATGTCAGACAAGAAACAATTCAAATATATAGTAAGTGATAAAACTATGATGGTTTCATGTGCTATTTGTTAGAAGTTCACTTGTCTTTGCACATATGGTTGTTATAATTTGTAAAAGCATGTCCTAGGCAGATATGCTTAAAACTTGATTGACATTTACTAGAGTATGGCACATGCATTTTTCTGAGTACCAATTTATATCTTCCCTTTCCCCAAATCCCTCAACTAGGACTCACAAAATTCTTTTTTTTTTTGAGACGGAGTCTCGCTCTGTCACCCAGGCTGCAGTGCAGTGGCCGGATCTCAGCTCACTGCAAGCTCCGCCTCCCGGGTTCACGCCATTCTCCTGCCTCAGCCTCCCGAGTAGCTGGGACTACAGGAGCTCCCGGGTTCACGCCATTCTCCTGCCTCAGCCTCCCGAGTAGCTGGGACTACAGGCGCCCGCCACCTCGCCCGGCTAGTTTTTTGTATTTTTTAGTAGAGACGGGGTTTCACCGTGTTAGCCAGGATGGTCTCGATCTCCTGACGTCGTGATCCACCCGTCTCGGCCTCCCAAAGTGCTGGGATTACAGGCTTGAGCCACCGCGCCCGGCCTACACAAAATTCTTAAACTTGTAACTTGAGGATATTTTTTTTCCCACCCAGTATACTACTACTGGAAAGGGTGAGGGTGAGAGGGTGGTGTGGAAATATGATTTGGATCCATAATTGAGGAGCAAATTTCCCCACCTCTAGGAGGTGAACTACTCATGTCTGGAGAAGAGGGAAGAGTAGGAATGACACAAGTCACCACCTGCCCTTTCCTCACAACCAACCAAAGCAATGACTTCCATCCCCTGATGCAACACTAAGAAGCTGCATGGGACCTGAGTGAGTTTCAGTTTGAAATTGTCTACCCACCTGGGACAGCAGAAGAATAGAACAACTCTTTTATTTAATTATTTAATGTTTTTATTAGGAAAAGGGTACATATTTGGAGACATTAAGGTAATGAACCCCTATGTACCTAGAACAAATATTTTAAATATAATTGTACATAGTTGGATATGCTCAGTTCAAAATTTTAGAAAAACACATTTTATAACGTTCAACTTTCCTAAGCACCGACATTTTCAAGAAATTCAAATGTATGTATAGATATTTTCCTAGATTTATTAAAAACTGAGCTTCCTTGGCCATAGAAGTTAATGTTTTCATTATCTCTGAAGTCTCCAACTTGGGTATGTATACACACACATGTTTATTATATGTGTATTATAATACATATAATTGAGGTGGAACATACATACGTATTTATACATGTGTATATATATGTATGCATACATGGAGTTTAAGCTATATATACTTTTAAAGAAGTAGAGCAAATCAAATATTTGCAGATATCTGAAGCACCCCAAGGTTCCGCAGAACATAACTTGAAAAACACTATTCTAGGTACTGGGTGCTATGGCGATGAATAAGATATGATGTAGCCTCAGAGAACCACATGATCTCAGAGCCACTGTTCAATAAAATGTACATCAATGTAGCTCATTGGCTAGTTTCCAACTAGAATAAAAATTGTTGCTTGTGCAAGCAGTAAATTTTCTTTTGTTTTTCCTCAATTTCTTTAACATCATTTCTATCACTCTTCAGTGCTTGTAGAATGAAAAATATCATGTGCAATGATTGAGATTTAATGTTGAATTTTAAAAGTGCAAAGATAGAAGTAATTTGTGAAGGATGATGCTGAAGTTTCTTATTCTATTCAGTCACTGTAACCAGTGTGATTCAAGATTGGTTGATGTATGGACCATGGCCAGCAGCAGCTTTTTTCAAAAGTAGAAGACCAGAAATTTTCATCCCTGTCAATTATATAAGAAGGAATCTAAAATATGTGATTTTGGACACCATCTTTCCTAATATGAGACATACTTTCCTAGGACTCATACAATGGTAAAATAAAACTTACCAGTTCTTAGATTCACAAAAACTACTTTATGTCTTAAATATTTGTTCAGTTTTAATTTCAATTATATTTGAATGAATAATACATTAACATGATTTGTATTATTCAACGAAAGGTATATATTCCATAGTCATCCATCTCTCCTTCCAGGAGTTAACCAGTATTATATTTTCTTGTGCATACTTCCAGATACCTTTTTTTAAAAAATTGGGAACCAGTCAATATTTATATGTCCATCCCAACATGCCTTCTTTTTGCTTTTTTACCTAAGTGGTAGTGTACTATATACTCTGTTCTGTATTTTGCTTTTTTTTTTTCCTGAACAATATATCTTAGAGACTATTTCACATGAATTTATAAGGAGTATTCTCTCTTTTTTTTTTTTTTCCTACAGGGCATAGTATTACATTGAATTGATATATTGTGAATGACATTTAGATGATTGAAAGATCATTTTAAAATCAGGAGCAGGTAATTCTCAGTGTGGAATGTAGTAAGAATACAAAAAAGAAAAAAAAATACTAAGAGATGTCTCATTATCCCGCTGATGATTTTAGGCATAGGAAAGATTGAAATCTACTCCCCTAGAACAATAGGGGGATCAAATATGTGATCACATTCATCTGGTGGGTACAAAATGGCAAATAAATACTGGTTATTTTCCATTGGTACTCCCTGCCTGCCTGGCTAGATATTTTAAAATCCCACTGAATATCAAACTTAGAATTAAATAGGTCAGTGAGAGGAATTCTCTTCATGCAAGTGAGGAAAACACGCATATTAAAAAAGGGAAAGTTAGTAACTTTTGTAGTTTGTCTGGAAGTAAATGCCAGAGGTCTGTTTGAAATAAAGGAAATGTGGCAACTTTGTTGAGAGTACATGAAAATACTGGGACCAAGAGGGGAAAAGGCCGAAGGAAGGCATGCCTGTTTCAGATGAGTTCTTTCTTTTTTTTTTTTTTTTAGTGAGGGGGAGCCGCTGGCATGAGCCCTTAAACTTGGTTATATGTGACCTCTACTCCCTGTGGTTAGAATTTCATGGCCAGAGTCAACAAGCTGTGGATGAGATTGTTAAACTTTTGTAGTAGAGCAGAGTAGACAAACATGCCTGGGTGAGTTCTCTGGGATAAGACACGTTGTGACGATTCTAGATGATTTTTCCATGTGACATTGGACTTAGTGATTAAACTGTTGCCAAAGAGACTGTTACCTCCTCATAGGTTGGGCTGCTGTGCCTGAGACCTGTCCAGAACACTATGTTCTTGTCAGAAGGCAGTCCAAGAAGGACAGTATGAGGGTCAAAATGAGAGTGACTCTGTAGGACTTCTTTTATTTTTTGATTTGGAGCTTACCTAAAGAGAAGTGATTAGCATTTAGCTTCTCCAATCTGCCAAGTATGTAAAGTTCTAAGTTTTACTGCTGTGGAGTACTTTCTTGTCTTTTTTCCAGTATTCTTGAATTTAATTTTATTATTCCATAGGATTCTATAGTGTACTATCCATACAGCATACTATCCTGTGTGGATATCTCAAATCTTGTGTGGTTAAACATGCAAAAATTCAACCTTCTGTATCTAATATAACATTCTATGAGGACCATACTTGGCTATACTCAGATATACTAGCAGATGAATTTACCAAATAGGGTTATCCTACCCCCACTTCAGACCCATAAGCTGGCATATGAGTTTAGTGCACAGGCCTCTCGTTCATTCAGTAAGATGTGATTATAAATTTTCAAGACACGATGCTATAGATCCTAAAAGAACTCTCTCATTACCATGCAGTTGTTTGTTTCTGCTCCACAGGGGCCACTGCGTAATACTGATGATGGGTACTTTGTGAGGGAGTCTTCCTAAGAGTTCCAAATGGGGAGCAGTACAAAGCTGTTTTTGGTTTTCTCCTCAACCTATCTGATTTTCCATCTTACATCTTATTTATCTGTTTGGGGATAATAGATCTCAGAGTGACATTAGCAATGTATTCATTCTATTGTCATTCCTTTTGATTTTCTCTTTTGCTTCTTCTATTCTTCCTCAGGAAAGGCTCTCCCATTTTATTCCTGGAAAGAACTGAATGGCCTCATTCTCATTCAGAGTTCTATCTGATTTATAAGGTCTGTAAAAAAAAACAAAAACAAAAACAAAAAAGACACTTTAGGTTGAGACCATTTAAATTATGCTTTGATATGTAGATGAACAAGATTACGGAGTAAAACCTTTCAGCAAAAATTTATCAAGATTATTGTGTCACTTGAAAATTTGATAATGTTAGATGAATATTAACATTTCTTTCTCTTTGCATTTCTGCTATACCAATTTTATTCCTCCCCAAAGGATTGAATAGGGAGAAGATCATATACAAGGAATCAAAACAGAAAAAAAAATTTTTAATTATTCTTGTTAAATATATATATGTTTTAATGTTCATGTCTATTTATCTGCCTTTGCCTTCCTGCCTTCAGTAAATTGGCTTTCTTTCCTATCATTTACTTCTTTTGTATCATACTACTCTTCACCCAGTCTTTATGGATATTACTTCTTTTATCTCATCTAACTCATGCCATCTCTACATTCCTCATGTCATCGTATCTATTCCCTTTTCCCATTAGCATGATTGAATCCTCACTCTTCTCATCCCAAGCCTATTTCTTATCTATTTTATATGTCTCCTTGCCGTAAGCAAAACCTGACTCTTCTGTTCATTACTGAGCACTTATTAAACATCAATTATGTATAATCGTCTCCTTTTGGAACCTTGTATTCCACCAATCTGCTGACTTTTCACTTCCTTAAAAGAGCCTGTCATGCAAGTTGATCGAGTGATTCAGATTACGAAAGACTCTCATTTCTAGGCTGCTTCCCTTTCTGTATTGAGCACAGGGTCCAGAACTTTATTAGAGTTTGGATTTTATTTTATATGCAATGGAGAACCATTATGAATTTTTGAGTGGAATGTGGGTGATGAATGCATATAATATTATAGGAAGATATTCTGGGAGTAACGTACAGAATTGCTTGTTTGAATTACATGTATCCATTAATACATTACCACAGTAAAACAGAAATGAGAAAAAGAGGAGAGAAAATAGACCAAAAGAAAAAAACTAAATGACTTTTTAAAAATATGGGTATAATTAACTTTATTTGCCTATTGATGTTGTATATTGACTGATAGTAATCATTAAAGACAAACTGACATCAAGCTCAATAAATTTAAACTTTTGGCAATTTTCTTCATTTAAACAGTACTACTATATCAACCAAATCAACACCAATTCAACCAACTAAATGATTTCTTGACTGAGTCAACAGGAGACAAAGCAGCCTTTGGGTAAAAGCTAAAAATAAGAGTTGTCAGCAAATAAGAAAGTGAACGGTTGGTTCAAGAAGATAAGGAACTAGAATAATGGAATTTTGTTCAGATCAACATAAAAGAGGCTAATCAAATACCATCAAATGTGTCCTTTCATATGCATGGAACATGTAGCAAATTCAATCCCCTATTGGGATTGAATATGGTGACTTGAAAAGTTTCAGTTTCAGAGCAGTGATGGGGATAGTAATAATGTGGAATGAATTGAAAAAGAAAGTAGTTGTCAAATGGATGTCAGCATCAGATAACTGTGTGTACTGTACCTGTGGATAAGACAGATTCTTTGTTTAAACCCTCATTAAAGGAAAAAAAGATAACTAAATGCTGTTAGAGTTTAACGTGCTATTTATTTTCTCTTTAGTATTCCTTTTTTAAAGTTTTTTTTTTTCTTTTTTTCTTTAGAGATGGTGTCTCACTCTGTCACCAGGCTGGAATGCAGTGGCATAATCATAGCTCACTGCAGCCTCAGGCTCCTGGGCTCAAGTGATCCTCCTGCCTCAACTTCCTGAGTAGCTGGGACCACAGGTGTGTACCATCATACCCAGCTAATTTTCAAAATTATTATCTTCTGTAGAGATGGGGTCTTGCTATGATGTCCAAGCTTGTCTCAAACTGCTGGGATCAATTGATCCTCCCACCTTGGCTTCTCAAAATGCTAAGATTATAGGTGGGAGCCACTGCATCTGGCCTCTCTTTAGGATTTTTATTCCAAGGTAAATAGTAGTGATCATAGCTCAATAATATTATTAATATTCTGAACATTATCAATGTTTATAGGAAATTAATTCTATTTAATTAACTGATTTAAACTTTCTTTGCCTTAGTTTATTAAGGAGTTACATTTTCGTTATAAAAATATGCCTTTGATATTTTAATGAAATTTAACAGAAAAACAGAATTACACTACCAGAAATTTGTTTAAGTACTCCTCTGCATTTCAATCAAGGATATCATAAAGCAAAAATGAAGTTTTATTATATTTATGATATTATAATAAGATATTTTAACATTAATTTCAAATAGGTGTGACTCAAGGTCATATAGGATCATTCTTTTTAAGAATAAAATGGAAAGATATAAAACATGTCTTTTATATATAAGGTAGGTGAGAAAAAAGATAGAAAATATGAGGTTTTTTAGTCCAGAGATTATTTGGTTTGGTCTGTACTATTCCATTCAATTTTTTACCCGTGAAATTTTCCATTCATGGGACAACACCTATTAAACAGCATTTGTGTATGTCCAAGGGTTTGTTTAACTTAAAGAGATACAAAATATACACGTTTTCCAAACAAAAATGGCTGGTTCAAAGTTCTATGACCAGTGACATGTAAACTGAAGCAATCAGTGCACGTCTGGATGCTCTGTTAAAATTTCAAAGGTTACCATGCGTGGGCTTTAGAATTTGTTTAGAGAAGTAGTGATAACCTTGACTCTCTTTCAGCAGAAGTACAAGTTTATTAATGTAAGACTCAGTACTACTATTCACAGTTTAATCATTTATGTTTTTACCTTAAGGTTCAAGTAGTTACGTATTTCCACTATAGGTTACTTGATTCTTAAAACTAGGTGACTATATTTTATGTTTGCTTTTACCCCATGCTCCATTATTTTAAGTTGTTCTTTTTGGAGTTTAATTTTAATTAAGCTTATTCAACTCAATGTGAGATGGTCGAATGCAGCTAATAGGATGTTTAACAGTCTCTGTAGAAAGAGGATTGGGCTTGTGACTTGATTGCCAAACTCAAGTTTAGGGTTTTTCTTGTTTAATTTCTTAATTGCTGAAAGAGAAATAGACCTTAATTTTTTACATAAACCAGATACTTCCCTTTGAATTGAAGAAATCTCTTGTGCATTGGTTAAAGAAGTTTAATCTTTCAATGAAAACATATCAAAGATAATTGGTTGAGGTCGAATCTCATCAAAACTCATGTAACAGGTGCTTAATATGCAAGAACATTTACTCAATGAGCACCTCCTACTGCTTATTCAGATTTCCTCTTTCCCATTTTTAATGTGATACGTTCTCAGTTTTCTTTTAAGGTTTCTAAAAGATAGATCTGCATTTCTACTTTATAATATATATAACCAAACCACAATTGTTACTATCTCTTGATTTAATCATCCTTTTACCTGCCATAAAAATAATTTTGTTTTGTAGATGTTGCTCTGAAAATATTTTGTTTGACATCTATATTTAACATACATATTTACTGGTTATTTTGGCAGAAGTTGGTAAATCTTCCTACTCTTCCCTAGGTTATCTATTTTAGATATTTTAAATGAAGACTAGGATAATAGACAGCTAGTAATTCCCAACTCAGAAGAATTAGGTTTTTGTCCTGACTCTGCCACTCACTAGCATTTTAATCTAGGACAAGTTTGTTCTTGTCTCTGGACTTTCCTCATTGCCTTCCAGTGCTGTTAGAAGAATTGTATTTGACATTATACAAGGAATATTGTTGCATTAACATATAGCAATATTATAATCATTGTAAGTTCCTGAAATAAAAGACTCGTGCCTGTTTAATTAAATTATGTGGATCCTATTTTGAGCTAAAAATACTCATGATCTAACAAATGATTTATTTTTTGTTTGTGAGTTTAAATAGCAAGACTTAAAATGTAAAAAATGAAATAATAATCAGTCATGTTTGTAACTAAAGATAATATTGAACAGAATAAAATTAAATAAAATATCAGTTTGTTTCAGATAATTCAGGTAGTGATTTGTCATGTAGAGGATCTAATAATTTGGTTCTGAAGGCAGCAAAATGACCAATAAAATAATAGGGGTAACATTTCTCTTTATTAAGTATATTTATTTTGATTTAGGAAGACAAAGCAGAAGAAAATTGACTGTCTAAAAATGAATTTTATATATTTTATATTATTATTATTATTATTATTATTGCTTGAGACAGGGTCTTGCTCTGTCACCCAGATTGGAGTGCAGTGGCATGATCATGACTCATGGCAGCCTTGATCTCCTGGGTTCAAGTGATCCTCCTGCCTTAAACTCTTGAGTAGCTGGCCCTACAGACACACACCACCACGCTCAGCTAATTTTGTAATTTTTTTTTTTGACTGGCTCTTGCCATGTTATCCCAGCTGGTCGTGAACTCCTGAGTTTAAGTTATCCTCCTGCCTCAGCCTCCCAAAGTGCTGGGATTACAGACATGAACCACCGCACCTGGCCATGTTTTTTTTTATATTATTAATTCAGCAAACACTTGTTGAATATCTACTCACTCATTTAAAAAATACTTATTGTATACTCAGTATTCTACCCATTTGGGATACAGTGACAATCAAGACAGGCAAAGTACCAAACCACAAGAAGCCTACAGTCTAGAGTAAGAGGTGTTTTATAATTAAGGGCGGGGAGCTGGATCCAATGAAGGCCTTCAAAAGGTAGGATGAAAATTTAAATAAAATTCAGACTCTAGTAAGAAGACGGGCCAAGAAGTCTGAATTCTTCATTGGACCTCCATTTTCAAGATATAATAGCAAATATTATAATGTTGAACAGAATTTCAGGGTTACAATGTTATTTTTTTCCAAAGATAGGTTACTTTTGATGACATTATCAATTAAATTAGCAATGCCAGGAGTCTTGAGTCACATTTGTTTATAGATCTTTGACAACAACATGTTTGTTCAGCCCTGCCCCATGCTCTTGTTTAATGTGTAGGGAAGCTGGAAGAGTTCTATGAGTCTAACATAATTAGTTGTCCATAATGAATAAACTACATGGACTTTGTGAATCTTATGCATGCAGCAGAGTAGAGTGGTTAAGAGCATGAATTTTAAAGCCAAACTGCCTGGGTTTGCATCCTGACCCTATTCATTATTTACTAGGTGTGCACCCTTGAACAAATTAAACTACTTAGCCTGATCCTTCAGGCTCCTCATCTGCTAAATAAGCATAATAATAGTACCTACCTCAGTTGTGACGATTAAATACATGCATATGTGTAAAGTGTTAGAAACGGGCCTGTTCCATCATAAGTGCTATTTAGGTGTTTCTTTCAGGGACTAAGGCTCATTTTCCTTGCCTTATGTTACCCAGTTTTGACTCTTAGGAACTGGTTAGGTTTTAGAGATGGAGGGAAAAATCCATACTTTACAATAGTTTCAGAGGAATCAAAATTGTGGAAAGCACCTTATAAATCATGTGGTCTAGTCCCTTCATTTTATACATGAGAAAATTGAGATCCAATAAATTGAGTTACATGTCTAACATGAATTTAAATAGTCTCCCATTAGGCAGGTAAATTCAATGTAGCTTAACAGTGTTGGTCACCGTAATTCAGCTGCGATCATGAAATATCCAGATTATTTGAGCCACCTTGGATTATAAAGACCCACTAAATTAAACCGAGATCTACGATCTTCAGTGTACTCAAGGCTACAAATGGGATAAGAAAACTCAAGTAAAATTCAAGCTTCCTGATTTTAATTTATGATCATAATGTACTGTACTGAGGGAAGCACATATAAAAGATACGTGGTAACAGTTGTGTTGTATTAAGGGAGAGCATGTCTATAAAAGTATTTTTTCCTAAGGTTTTATTATCTGTTAGCTCTTTGTTGGTGTCAGCTGAGTTTCTTTTTGATCTCAAACAATGAGTTTACTCTTATGTCACTCTCTTATGTTCAATGACATATCTGTGATGACAGATAAAGACCTGTCTTTAAAGATGCATGCACAAGTGTGACTGTATGTTTTGTAAGTAAAGCAGTTATGCAAGAATGTAACTTTTTTTTTTATTTTTTGAGACAGGTTCTCACTCTGTTGCCTAGGCCGGAGTGCAGTGGTGCAATCTTGGCTCTCAACCTCTGCCTCCTAGGTTCAAGTGAATCTCGTGCCTCAGCCTCCTGAGTATCTGGGATTATAGGCATGTGCTATCACACCCGGTTAATTTTTGTATTTTAATAGAGATGGGTTTCACCATGTTGGCCAGGCTGGTCTCGAACTTCTGATGTCATGTGATCTGCCTGCCTCTGCCTCCCAAAGTGCTGGAATTACAGGAATGAGCCATTGTAGGTTAACAGCAAAATTAAGAGGCAGATACAGGGATTTCCCATATTCCCTAGCCCCTACTCCATTATCAACTCTCCCCACCAGAGTGATACATTTGTTACAATTGATGAACCTGCATTGACACATCCTAATCACCCAGAGTCCGTAGTTTACTTTAATTAGGGTTCCCTCTTGGTATTGTGCATTTTATGTTTTGGGCAAATTTATGACATGCATCACCATTACAGTATCATGCAGAGTAGGTTCACTACCCTAAAAATCCTCTGTGCTCTGCCTCTTTATCCCTCCCTCCCTCCTAACATCTGGCAACTACTGATTTTTTTTTTTTTTGCTGTCTCCATTTTCTAGAATGTCACAGAGTTGGAATTATACAGCACATATGTAGCCTTTTCAAACTAGCTCATTACATTTAGTACTATGCATTTAAGTTTCTTCCATGTCTTTTTATGATTTGCTAACTCATTTCTTTATTATTATTAATAATTTTTCATTGTCTAGATGAACTATAGTTTATCCATTCACCTACATAAGGACAATCTTGCCTCCAGGATTTGGCAATTACGAATAAAGCTGCTATAAATACACATGTGTAGATTTTGGTGTGAACATAGCTTTCGACACCTTTGGGTAAATAACAAAAAGCATGATTGCTGGTTCATATGGCAAGAGTATGCTTAGTTTTGGAAAAAACTGCCAAACTGTCTTTCAAACAGGCCGTACCTGTACATTTTGCAGTCCAGCAGCAACGAATGAGAGTTCCTGTTGCTCCACATCTTTGGCAACGTTTGGTGTCAGTGTTCTGGATTCTGGCCATTCCAGTAGGTGTGTAGTGGTAACTCCTAGTTATTTCAATATGTATTTCCCTGATGACATATTATGCGGAGTGTCTTTTCATATTCTTGTTTGCCATCTGTGTGTCTTGTTTGGTGAAGTATCTGTTAAATCTTTGATCCATATTTTAATCAGGTTGTTTGCTTTCTTATTGTTGTGTTTTAAGAGTGTTGTATGTTTTGGATAACAGTCCTTTATCAATTGTTTTTTGGAAATATTTTCTCTTAGCCTATGGCTTTTTCATTTCATTCTCTTGATAGTGTCTTTTGCAGAACAGAAAATTTTAATTTTAATGAAGTCCAGCTTATCATCTCTTAATTTATGTTACACCTTTGTTGTCATATCTAAGAAGTTGTTGCCAAAGCCAAGGTCATCTAGAATTTCTCCTATGTTATATTATAGGAGGTTTATAGTTTTGTGTTTACATTTAAGTCTGTAAAGTGTTTTGAGTTAGTTTTTATGAAGGGTGTAAGGCATGTACCTAGTCATTTTTTCTATATGAATGTCTACTTGTTCCAGCACCATTTGTTGAAAATATCTTTTACTCATTGCATTACTTTTGCTCCTTTGTCAAATATCAGCTGATCATAATTCCATTCATGTGTATTTGCATGTATGTGACTCTTTTTGGGCTTTCTATTCTGTTCCACTGATCTATTTGCTTAGTCTTTTGTCAATACCACATTGTCTTGATTACTGTCAATTATATTTAAGTCTTGAAGTTAGGTAGTGTCAGATCTCTGATTTTGTTCAGCCAACCCAGAGTTGGCTATTGTAGGTCTTTTGTCTGTCCATTTAAACTTTAGAATAAGTTTGTCAATATCAACAAAATAATTTGCTGGGATTTTGATTGTGATTCCTAACTTGATTCTATAAATCAAGTTTTGATTGTGATTCCTAAGAACTGACATCTTTACAATATTGAGTTTTCTTATCTATTAACATGGAATGTCTTTTCATTTATTTAGTTATTCTTTGATTTCTTCAATCAGAGTTTTGTGGTTGTTCTCATATAAATCTTGTACATGTTTTGTTAGATTTATATCTAAGTATTTCATTTTTTGAAGTGCTACTGTAAACAATATTGTGTTTTTAATTTTAAATTCCACTTATTCGTTGCTGATATATATGAAAACAATTGACTTTTGCATATTAACCTCGTATCCTCCAACCTTGCTATAATTGCTTTTGTTTTCCTAATTCTTTTGGATTTTCTGCACAGATGATTATGTCATCTGCAAACAGAGACAGACATTTGCAACAATGTTGAAAAACATTGTTGAGGTGACATTCTTTCTTTGATCCTGAAAACTTTCCTTAAACTTTTGTAAGTCAAATTCATTTCCATTTTGAACCTGCGTAAAGTGGAGAAATATTCACTGTCAACAGTTTGGTGTCCCCTTGCTTTCCTTGAGTTGATTCATCTAATGCCAAGACATTGGGTGAGGGCTCATTGGTCCCTTGGTTGTTTGTCTATACAGTTCTCTGCTGAGATGAGAGTCATTGCCCATCTGGTTCTCTATTCTCTGTCTATGCAGTTCACCCCAGAGGTGTCCCTCCATCTTGTTGGGCAGTCGCTTTACTGCTGTTCAAACTCTCTATTCCTTTTATCCTTTTATACCTAGCTTAAGGATGTTGAATCATTTGGTTACTTCTCCTGATTTTTGTGAATTTGCCTAAGGTTGGGACAGTTTAAGACATGAGACATGGTCATTTTCTTTGTGGGGTCTTGTCTTGCCCCTTTCCTGAGGGCTTTCCTAGAAAGGACTCTCTTTTTCTCTCAGAGGATACTATTGTTTTTCCTTGCCTTTCCTATGCTATTCCAGAAAGAGTCTTTCAAGCAAGCCCCTTCTCTTCAACCACCATTATTGTTTTTAAAATAATGTCAACTTTTAGTTTAGATTCATGCGGTGTATGTGCAGGTTTGTTACATGGGTACATTGCCTGAGGTGTGGGATATGAATGATCTTGTCACTTAGGTTGTGAGCATAGTACCCAATAGTTAGTTTTCACCCCTTTCCCTTCTTTTCCTCCCCTCTTTCTTTATCCCCAGTGTCATTGTTGCCATTTTTATGTCCACAAGTACCCAATGTGCTTCTCAGTGAGAATGTATGGTATTTGATTTTCTGTTTCTGCATTAATTCTCTTAGGATAATGGCCTCCAGCTGTGTTCATGTTGCTTCAAAGGACATGCATAATTTTATCCTTTTTTATGGCTGTGTAGTTTTCCATAGTGTATAAGTATCATATTTTCTATTTCTTTTTTAAAAAATATTTTTTCTTTTTATTTAACTTTTATTTTGGTATATGCACAGGTTTTTTATATAGGTAAACTTGTGTCATGGGGATTTGTCATACAGATTATTTTATCATACAGGTAGTAAGCCTAGTACACATTAGTTATTTTTCCTTATCCTCTTGTTGCTTCCAACCTCCACCCTCCAATAGCTCCCAGCGTGTATTATTCTCCTCTATGTGTTCATGTGTTTTTATCATTTAGCTCCCTCTTATAAGTGAGAACATGCACTATTGGTTTTTTGTTCCTGCATAAGTTTGCTAAGGATAATAGCCTCTGGCCTCCAGCTCCATCCATGTTTTTGCAAAAGATGTGATCTCATTTTTTATGGCTGCAGAGTATTTCATGGTGTTCTACATTTTCTGTATCCAACCTACCATTAATAGGCACCTAGGTTGCTTCCATGTCTTTGCTATTGTGAACACAGCTGCAATGAACATACAAGTGCATGTGTCTTTTTGGTAGAATGATTTATTTTCCTTTGGATATATATCCAATAATGAGATTTCTGGGTTGACTGGTAGTTCTACTGTTAGTTCTCTGAGAAATCTCCAATCGCTTTCCAAAGTGGTTGAACTAATGTACATTCGCACCAACGGTGTAGGTGTTCCATTTACTCTGCAGCCTCACCAGCGTCTGTAATTTCTGACATTTTCTTAGTAGCCATTTTGACAGGTGTGAGACGGTGTCTTATTGTGGTTTTGAGTTACATTTTTCTGATGATTAGTGATGTTGAACAGTTTTTCATATGTTTGTTGGCTGCTTGTTTGTTTTCTTTTGAGAAGTGTCTGTTCATATGTTTTGCCTGCTTTTTAAAAGGGTTACTTGTTTTTTGCTGGATTTATTTATTTATTTATTTAGAGATGGAGTCTCACTCTGTTGCCCAGGCTGGAGCGCAGTGGCATGATTTTGGCTCCCTGCAAACCTCCGCCTCCCGGGTTCAAGCAATTCTCCTGCCTCAGCCTCCTGAGCAGCTGGGATTACAGGCGCCCACCACCATGCCTAGCTAATTTTTGTATTTTTAGTAGAGATGGGGTTTCTCCATGTTGGTCAGGCTGGTCTCGAACTCCTGACCTCAGATGATCCTCATGCCTCAGCCTCCCAAAGTGCTGGGATTACAGACATGAACCACCACACCCGGCTTTTTTGCTTGTCAAATTAAGTTCCTTCTTGATTTTCGATATTAGACTTTTGTTGGATGCATAGTTTGCAAGTATTTTGTCCCATTCTGTACATTGTGTTACTCCGTTGACAGTTTCTTTTGCTGAGCAGAAGCTCTTTAGTTTAATTAGGTCCCATTTGTCAATTTTTATTTTTGTTGCAATTGCTTTTGAAGACTTTGTCACAAATTCTTTCCTAAGGCTGATGTGCTGATTGGTGTTTCCTAGGTTTTCTTCTAGGATTCTAATAGGTAGAGGTCTTACATTTCAATCTTTAGTCTATCCTGAGTTAGTTTTTCAGAGATCATATTCTTACTACTTTCCTCCACATCTGTTTTTTCTCCCCATCCTGATTGGTTATTTCTAGCATCTTCTCAGATCCTTTTCTCTTTCTCAAATATTTCTCCCAAACATTCTGCTTATGTCAAGAATGCTTTCAGTTTCTCTAGGAGCTTAGGTTTTAGAAACTAACATTAAAAAAAAAAACAAACCTTTGTTCATGCTTTTCATGCTTTACCTCCCTTCTCCAAAGCATGTAGCACACACTGTCAACAGGTTGATGACAAAAATTAACATTTTCTCAAGAAAAAAAGAGAATGTATTAGATCAAGAAATGTTACCCCATCATATAGTTATTAATATTTATTTTACTTTGTGAGGTTGGGTTGGCTTCAGTTTGTGTGTTTTTGTAACTATCCAGATGACAGTGATGGCAGTGTCAACCCCAAAGATTTTTGGAATCCTATAAAATAAGGTAATCCTGAGGGTTTTTATTGACTTTTTTTTCATTAATATGTCTTAGTTGTCCATATTTTTCAGGTACATGTAATATTTTGATATGTGTGTACAATGTATAATCATCATATCAGGATAATTGGGATATCTAACACCCCAAACATTTATCTTTTCTTTGTGTTGGCAATATTACAATTTTTCTCTTCTAGGTGTTTTGAAATATAAATTATTCACTTTAACTTCTTACTGTAGTATCAAATACTAGAACTTGTTCTTCTACTTAATTGTATTTTTGTATTCATCAAAGGCATTTTTATGTTATATTAAAATAGAAGTTAAGGATCTTTAGAGAAATGCTACCTACTATGATGCTATTTTTTGAATGATAAATGAGGATTATTTAACAATAAGCCCTAATTCATTTTGAAAAACAATTAGTGCTAGATATCAGAAAAACTTATGAATTATACATAGTAAATACCATCTTCTGCATTTGTAGTGTAAACTGAGACACTGAAAAGTAACTCACCCCAAGTTTAGTGACTGACCCAGTGGCTGACCTGTTTTAACATTTATATGCAGGTGTCTGCTATGAACCTAGCACTATTCTAAGCACTGTCCCTGAAATCGTTTTTGAGTTTGTGTGTAATATGACACTGATTGCAATTTCTAAGGGACTTTTTCACATTGGAAGAGGTAAAGTAATTTTCCCAAGTACTGTAGAAAACTGACATTATAATCCCTAGTTTTATTTCACCATATTGTTTCTTACAAATGTCTCTCCACTGGTATGTTATAAA